GGGGTTTGCAGAAGACTTGATGTAGAATTACCATAACATCAAAATTTAAAATACAGGGATATATGTATGTATGTATGTATGTATGTATGTATGTATGTATGTATGTATGTATGTATGTATTATTAGTAATGATATTTAGAGGAAATAAGTGTGGTTAACTGAACAGGTAATTTTCTTTTCCCCCCTCCTAAGTAGAGAAGATATCTAAGATGTGGGGATTGTTACAATGGGAATTGAAAATATGCCCAATGAGAATAATTAAGTGAAGTGCTATTGAGAGAGTTAAAAATCTGGGGTGCTTAACGATATATAACTATGTAAAATTAGTATGAGTTTAGCAGGAAACTCGAATCTAGCTCACACTTTGTCCAAAAAATAGGCTTTGGGGGACACACACCAAATAATGGAACTTTGAAATATGTATACTACTAAAAAGAGGAATTATGTAAAATCATAAATATGAAAGATGTTTATTGGAATGTAATTATCAGTACCAGGAAATATCAAATGAAGTGTGCTCAGATGCTGAAATACACTATGTAAATTAATTGGAGTGAGTTGAAAGGAAAGGTAGAGGTAAGGAGAAAGAGAGGAGACAGGAGAGAGGGAAATAGAAGGGAGAGGAGAAGGAGGAGAGAAAGGAGGAGCGGAAAGAGGAGAGAGAAGGAGAGAGGAAGGGGAAGTAGAGAAGAGAGGGATGACAGAGGGAAGAAAGGAGGTTGGGAGGAGGAGAAAGGCAGATACGAGGGTGGTGAAATGGGGTATAATATGGTGTATTGAAAGCAGAAGAGCAAATGGCAGCTGTTTTGGATTGAGGGAATGATATAACAATGGAAATACAAAAAAAATTCTGTTCAGATGTAATGGTATACTTGTGATTATATGTATGGAATTAAAATAAAATAAAAATCTTTTTCAAAAAAAACCTTAAAATACAAACTAAGAAAAAACAACTTAAACCAATTCTATATTTATAAAGTTTTTTTCCATTTTCATAACATACAACCATATGTATACTATTACATAGCCAACATCGTATTGTATTATTAAATGTTTACATCAATTCATCTTGCCATCAACTTCCAAAATCGATTATTGGCTTTTCTGCTCTCCCTACACCATATTTGTAGCTTATCCATCACTTTCTTCTCCTGAAGAACTTGGTTCTTCTTTTTTATTAACCTTTATATATAATCCTCCTTTTTTTTTTAAGAGAGAAAACAAAGTATACATATATAGTCATTAGTCAAAGTATACATGTATAGTCATATATAGTTCATTATTCATTAGAATAATGAACTTAAACCAATTCAAGGGCAGAAAAAAACCACACCAAAATCACCTGTGACTTTTGTAATAGATGTAACAACACGCTCCAAACAATACAGAATTTACAAAAATAACACCACGAACTGAAGGCAAAATAATACCAACCTATAAAATACTCTAAAACACTCATACAGGTAGCCCTGGACTTAACAACAGTTCATTTAGTGACTGAGGGACTTTTCCCCTCATATTTACGACGTGTTTGCGAGAACAAAATTCAGGCGCTTGTAAACTGGCATGTACTTATGAAGTTTGCAGTATGCGGGGGGGGCGTCATGTGACCCCCCCCTTTTGCAACCTTCTGACAAGCAAATGCTTAACCACCATGTGACTCACTTAGCAACCGCAAGGATTCGCTTGACAACCGCGGCAAGAAAGGTTGTAAAACGGGGCAAAACTCAATTAAAAAGGTCTCACTTAGCAAGAAAAAAAATATTTGGGCTCAATTGTAGGGGTAAGTCGAGGTTAAGCCTGCAATTAAACTAATATAAGCCAACATCCTGAGGTATTTTCCACTTCATTCTATCAAAGTCCTCACAAATAACATTTTTGTTAAAAAAAACCTACAATATTCTTTCACTGTAATCCAACGCAGCTTCATCCTCGCATCCCAAAATTATTATTTTTTTAAAGGTTTATTACCTGCTCAGGCGGGGGGTTGGACTAGATGACCTACAAGATCCCTTCCAACTCTGTTAATCTGTTACTTTGACTTTTAAAAGAAGCCTTCGGGAGTTTTCGGGCTTCTTCGGAAGCTTCCGAATCTCAGGAGCTTCGGCCTTTTTCGGCTCGGTCCGGGTAAAAAAAAAAAGGAGGCGGAGGAGGCAGCGCGCGAGGCGCCGCTCCGCCAATGGGAGGCCAGCGCATCCTTGGAAGCAACGGTCACGAGGGATTCCTCGTGCCGTCTCCCTCCGAGAGCAGGTGGGAAGAGAAAATAGTCCCCGGCTCCTTCCGCCTTAAATAATCAAGCCGTGTCACGTGGTACAGTGCGCGGAAGGATCCTTTCCTGTGAGCGGGCTACTTTCACCGTTGGAGGGAAAAGCCAGCGCCGTTTGAAAATTGTTATTCATTCTTTTTTTAAAAAAATATTCGAAGCTTTCTTTGGTTAGTGCTTGTTTTAATTTATTTTTGTTGTTGTTTTATTAAAAGCCTGCTACGGTATTGCTCTGGTTATTCCTTGGCTGCTTCCTCTTTTTTAATTCCCAATTTTTAACTTATTTTATTCATAATAGTAAATTTTACTAAGAATTTGTGCCCTAAATGTGGATGCCAGGAACGAATTGCTCTTGTTAATGGAGTTAGTAGAGAATTATATTTTTATAATGTGTTTCTCTTATAATATATAATAATAATAATAATGAAAAGGTTGCTAGACAATTATATAATATATATAGATAGATATAGAAAGAAATTAATAATTCATATAATAAAATAATGAAAGTAATAATGCATATAATGAAAAGGTTAGACGATTATATAATTAATATAATTTTATATTATAATGAAATAACGAAAATAATTCAAATGATAGTGGAAATAATTCATATAATGAAAGGTTGATAGATGGTTATATACACACACATATATATATATGAAAATATTAATGAAAATCTTTGTAAATAAGATTGTTACAAAAGATATGGAAAAGTATTTACACATGAAATAAGTCTAAATTTGTGTTTTGTACTTTGTCTTTTACATTTTTTAAAAAAATAAAATAATAATTCATATAATACTGAAAAGGTTGCTGGATAGTTTCCCATAAAATAGCTTCAATTAGTCTGAACTTTTTTTTTTTAAAAAAAAAGGAAAAATGATGTTTTTGCAACCTGTGTGTACAAAATGGAGGGGAGGAGAGAGAAAAAAGGAAAATACTTGCAAATGAATAATAAGCTAGTGTTTTCAAGACTATGTTTCTGTTTGTTAAAAATAGTCTCATAAACAGAAAAATGTGGGGGGAAACCCTACTAGTCAATGTGCAAAGAGTTTACAACTCTCCTAAAATATAAAATTAATTCCAAACTTACTAACACCTGTTCTCATTGGGGAGGTTAACATTGTTCATTATTTAACAATTGAGTTAATGAGTCATTAAGAAGGGAGTTAATATCTTAATTCCGTGTTTTTAAGACTGCTATTTGTTAACTAATAGCCTTATTTAAAACAATAATAAACGAGCAAATTGTTTATAATGTTCCTAAAATCTAAAATTCATTAGTACATTATTTAATTCAATGGGTCACTAACAACTGAGTTAATGTTAATTATCCTAGTGTTTTTAAGACTGAGTTTTTATTAGTCTTTGTCATGTCATTAATAAGTGGCTTCAATGAATCAAACTAGGTTCATTCAGGATAATCTTAAATTAAGTATATATCTTTGTTAAAAAAAAGATGAGAAAAGTGAGAAACCGCCCCTCCCAACACAAAAATTATGAATTATTGGGAGGAATGCTGCAAGCCACTATTGGTAGTTGTTTCCACTTACTAATAGTTGTTCTTGTTGGGGAGTTTAACATTGTTAATTACTTTGTGTACATTTTTGAAAACAGATTTTGTTTACCTAGACAGTGCAGTGAAGAATTTGTTTATTTAAAGTGTCTTTGTAAGGACACTGAGATAATAACACTTAACCAAGGGATATACCATTAGACAAATGAATATTGTTTAAAAAACAGATTCGCTATCCTAGTTGTTTGTGGATGAGGGGAGTTGTAGTCCAAAAGGGAAGAATGTTAGTTGGAGCATTCCAGTATTTTGGTTTTGTGTGTCTCTGTGATCCACATTGTTGTATCTGGAATGCAAAACTCCATATTGCCATTCAACTGGGACTGTTGCATATTTATTTGCTACCCTTTGTGAGTGTCTAGATTGATGTCTCCAAATTGGCTCACATCAAATCAGACATTTGATACTAGCTTAAATATATGCTGTAGATAAAATCAAGTTTGAACAATCCCACCTAGAGGTTTGCAGCTTCAAAAATCCACCTTGGAATTTTAGCTTGCACAAAACCTACTTTGGGTTGGGTCAATTCTGAAATCCTGTGAATTAGTTGGGGCTTGCAGTTAACAATAGGGGAACCATAAGGCAGGATGTGCCTCAAATCCTGGGTTATACGCTACTTCTGTGCTAAGAGTGACATCTTTGAGGTCATCTTAGCATTTTCTAAACAGCTCAGTGGCTAAGATGCTGAGCTTGTCGATCAGAATGGCCGGCAGTTTGAATCCCTAGCGCCGTGTAATGCAGTGAGTTCCCATTGCTTGTTCCAGCTTCTGCCAATGTAGCAATTCTAAAGCACATAAAAAAATGCAAGTAGAAAAATAGGAAACACCTTTGGTGGGAAGGTAACAGCATTCCATGCACCTTTGGTGTTTAGTCATGCCGACCACATGACCATGAAGACATCTTCAGACAGCACTGGCTCTCTGGCTTTGAAACAGAGATGAGCACTGCCCCCTAGAATCGGGAATGACTAGCACATATGTACGAGGGGAACCTTTACCTAAACATGGGGAAGGTTGCCCTGATGTATTCATTAATCTCATTTCAGGAAAAGATGTACTGGAAATGGGTTCAGTTTAAAGCAGGCTGTATTTTTTTACCCCTGTAAATGTGTAAAAGAATAAAAACAACATGTTTGTCTGCCATTGCAGCTCATTCAGTGAGACAATGACTGGGAGAGCAAGAGCAAGGTCTCGGGCGAGGGGGCGAGCCCGTGGTCAAGAAGCACCCCTCTCTACAGTGGGACCAACTCCTGTAAGTTTAAAAAATGTGGACATTTTAAAAACCTTTTTAAAAAGGATGGGGCTACGGGTGCTCCCCTGATCACCGATATCCAGGAAGGCTCAGTTAGCCTATTCAGTGAAATAATGAGAATTATAATTCTGGTTTTCCAGGATCACCTGTGGCCTCTTTGGACCGTGATGTTTACCATAATGTTTGTCTTTTGATATTGAGCAGCCCCCTTTTAAATCAGCGTTGCCTTCTCTAGGTTACTGCACCTGGATACGCCCAAATGACTCCCCAGCTGCCTCCAGCGCGGCAAGCTGAAGCAGGAAATGGATCTCAGGTTGGGCATGGCCAACAAAAAGGACCCCCGGAAGGTAGGATTGGTGGTTCAACGGAGGTTATCCTCTCCACGTTCCTGGAGTCGAACCAAAGTTGAATTTGCATTGCTGAAATAGAAATAAGATGGGAGTGCAGCTGTTTCTTTGGTCTGCTGCCTTTATGTTTGTTGAATTCCTAGGGCGCTGTATATATTCATCCTGGAGTTTTAGCCATCATGCACTGCCTGGTTTGGTAATGAAACAGGAAAACAGCCTCTTCCTTTCCCCCCTCCGCAAACCTCCCTCCCTTCTAGCACTGATGATGTTATCAAGTTGGGCAATGAAATATCTGCAAATAAACCCACCAAGCTAAGAGAGTACCAAGGACCCCACAGTTCAGCCCTGAGCTACAAATATTTTCTATCAATCGTAGTACATTTAAAAAAAATAAACCCTGATGTGGTAGGAGTCCCATACCTCTCCTTTCAATGATAGTAATCTTATAAACGATTTGTTGATCTCTTTATTAATGTCTCCCTTTAAGAAGCAGCTTTAGGAGCTGACCTAGCAACCAACTCTGGGTTTCTAAGAGGCAAGTCTTGTGATCCAGTGGATCAGGGTTTCTTCTATGTCATCCCCAATGGGTCACTTTAGATCTTCTTTAGCAGCAGCTTAGTAACTTGTCCAATAAGAGTTCAGGAGACAGGTTAGTCCAGAATTAACCACAAATGCAGATTATGACTGATTTTCTTTCTCCTCTACTTTACAGAATGTAAGATTTCAGCAGGCTTTCAGGAAATGAGTTTGGGAGAACGAGGTGGACGCCGCAGAGACTACCATGACCTTGGTGTAAACACCCGTCACTTAATGGAACATGTCAGAGATTCCAAAACAGGTACTGTAGACCCCTTCTTAGGAAAACCTCCTGTGTTTCTCTTGAGTGCCTTTTCTGTCACCCTGGAGGCATTTTATTTGGGGAGAAACCCCCTTCCAACCCCTTCCAGTTGGAGCAACATCCAACAATCTGTTAATCCTCCATGAAGAGACGCAGGCGTCCTGCACTTGGCAGTTGATGTGGTGCTATTGCTCTTACTGTTGATGGATTGAACGTATACCAGTCAGTGACAGAGCTGTTAAAAATGCTTGTTTAATAAATGCTTGTTAAAGAATGATTGATGGGATTCGGTCTGTGTAGTGGCATGTGAGAAGGACTAGGGATGAGATGATAGCAGTCTTCCAATATCTAAGGGGTTGCCCCATAGAAGATTGGGAGGGTCAACTTATTTTCCAGAGCACCTGAAGGCAAAACAAAAAGTAAGGGATGGAAACTAATCAAGGAGAAAAGCAACCTGAAATTAAGGAGAAACTTCCTAACAGTGAGGACAATTAGCCAGTATAACAGCTAGCCTCCAGAAGTTGTGGGTAATCCAACACTGGAGGCTTTTAAGAAGAGAACGGACAGTTATTTGAAATTATAGAGGGTGTCCTGCTTGAGCCGGGTTGTGATGACCCAGGGTGTGGCATATAAGCAACACAATCAGTGAACAGGTCTAACTTCCCTTTATTACTCCAACTGTGCCCTTAAATGTTCCCACATTCACTACAAGTCCTGGAACAAAGTTCTCACATGCACCTTCAGAAGCCTCTGGCTGCAAGAAGTCCAGTAAGCCAGGTTAATCAAACAGCAACCAGGGCCAGCAGACCCAATAAGCCAGGTTAGCCAAACAAACCAGAGCAAGAAATTCAGTGAAGCTGGCAAGCCCCACAAGACAAAGTACAGCAATCTCCAGTTTTTGGCAAGTGCACACGAGGTTCCAAAGATTTGTCGCTTGTTCCCGACAAATGCCCCTCCCACCGGCACCTCCTTACATCCCAGTCCCCAGGTGTGCCTTGTGAAAGGGGGCGGGGCACTCTCCTCCTTCGTAGCTGGCTCAGTCTGCATTCTCTCTTTTCTCCGTGCTCTAGGATCAGGAGGAGGTGGTCCTTGCTTCTCTCTTAAGCAATGTCTCTCCTCTTTCCTTTCTGCAAGCCTTTCTAATCCTGAGAAGCCTTGCCCGGACTGACTCTGCCCTTCCCCAGTTTCCTCTCTTGATCTCTAGCAGCTCTTGTTCCCCCGCAGATTCAGGCTCCAACAGAGGCATGACAAGGGTTGGACTAGGAGACCTCCAAGGTCCCTTCCAACTCTTATTCTATTCTGCTCTGATAATAAATGGCTGACAGATCAATACCTTTCCACAGGTGTGTCAGGGAATTCAATCCGATTAAGCACTAACCACTTCCGGCTGACGTCTCGCCCGCAATGGGCTTTGTACCAGTACCACATTGACTACAACCCACAGATGGAAGCCCGCCGTCTTCGGACAGCCTTGCTATTCCAACATGAGAACTTGCTTGGCAAGACACATGCTTTCGATGGGTCCATTTTGTTCTTACCGAAGAAGTTGGAAAATAAGGTACTTGCGATATTCTGTCATAGCCTGAATAGTTCAGATATAACCTTGGTTAGAATCAGGAAAATTGAGTCTTTGAGGTTGAGCAATAGCAATAGACTTAGATACCGCTTCACAGTGCTTTACAGCCTTTGCTAAGAAGTTTACAGGGTTCTCATTTTACCAACCTCGGAAAGATGGAAGGCTGAGTTAACCTTGAGCCAGTCAGGGTTGAACTGCTGGCAGTTGGCAGAGTCAACCTGCAATACTATCTCACCNTTGGGGGCAATATGCTGACTCTCTGTAAACCGCTTAGAGAGGCCTGAAAGGCCTATGAAGCGGTATATAAGTCTACTGCTATTGCTATTGCTATTCTCCATTTGTGCCTGCTAGCAGATCACCACCAGCCCTATCGGTAGGGAGGCCCTCACCCCCTTCCTTACCTGGGCCTGCTTCTAACATAGCAGAGGCCCAGGGTTGGTTTCCAGATTTGCTTGGACTGCGGAACAGCATAAATTGGTTAGAGCTACGCGCAGTTCATCTAGCCCTAATCGAATTTCGAGACTTGGTGAGGGCTCAACACGTATTAGTCCTCACACACAATGTAGCCACCAAAGCCCATGTAAATCGGCAGGGGGGGGGCATTCGATCGAGGGCACTAATGCTGGAAGCAGAGAGACGCCATCTGTGGGCAGAGGCTCACACGCTATCGATCCGCGCGGAGCACATTTTGGGCTCCACGAACATTCGAGCGGACTGGCTGAGCAGGGCCACACTGGACAACGCAGAATGGCGCCTGCACCTGGCACTGTTTCAGGACCTATCTCACTGGTTCGGCCACCCCGTGGTGGACTTATTTGCTCAGTCCAACAACTCTCACCTACCGAGATTCTTTGCCAGGTTCCAGGAACCAGGGGCAAAAGCCATCGCTGCCCTTCACAGCCCTTGGCCACCTAGGCCATACCGATCATTCCGCAGGTGATTCAGAAACTACTGGCGGAGAGAGCGGAGGTCCTTCTGATCGCACCAATGTGGCCAAGGTGCCCCTGGTATGCAGACCTCGTCAATCTGTCTGTATCTCAATCGTGACGGATACCGGATGACGGGGGCTCTCATCCATCCGAACCCCCAGTGGATGCAACTTGCCATGTGGGACTTGAAAGGGATATCCTAGTCCATCAACATTTTTCAGACAAAGTCATAAGGACGATTCAAGCAGCTAGACGCCGTCAGCCATGCATCTATGATGCCACCTGGCTCGCCTTCTGCAGGTGGTGCACCAGTTCCAACATAGAGCCCACCTCGGCTTCAGTACCTCAGGTACTTGAATTTCTGCAGATGGGCATGGACAAGGGACTCACACCCAGCACTCAAGCGCCAAATCTCTGCCCTGGCAACAGTGCTTGATGACGGTCAAGGTCGCTCCCTAACTCTCCACCCACGGGTGCGAACCTTCCTCCAGGGGGCTACCAACCTCAAGCCACTCATAGTCCATAGCTATCCCACCTGGGATTTGACTCCAGGCTCTCCCTAAAACACCGTTTGAGCCCATTCGTACCATAAGCCTTAGATTGTTGACCCTTAAGACAGTTTTTCTTGTACCTATTACATCTGCTAGGAGGGTGTCAGAGCTGGCCGTGTTGTCGGTACCCCAGGATCTCTGTATATTTCATCCGGACAGAATTGTCCTCCGACTGGATCCAGCATTCCTCCCCAAGATCAACACTTGGTTCCATCGGATGCAGGAACCTATCCTTCCCGACTTCTGTCCATACCCCCCGCATCCGCAGGAAAGACAATAGCATCATCTGGATGTTCGCAGGACTCTCTGTCGTTATGTGAAACGGACAGCTTCCTTCAGGAAATCGGAAGCTTTATTTGTGTCCTTTCAGCCAGCGTCTATGGGCCAGAAAGCGTCTTCCAACACAATCGGTCGCTGGCTGAAGGCGTGCATCTCTCTGGCCTATGAGAGTCAATCTAGACCAGTTCCCAAACGCATTACTCCACATTCCGTCCAGTGTGCGGCCACATCGGCGGCTTATGCGATGCAAGCCTCTATTGAGGACATTTGCAGGGTGGCGACCTGGTCATCCTCGTTGCCCTTTGTCAAACATTATAAACTGGACGTATTTGCCTCTGCTGAGGCATCATTTGGGCAGCGGGTTTTACAAAGGGTTCTTCCAACCTCCAGGACTTCCAACCAGCCTAGCTCCCGCCCTTAGTCTTCATTGCTTTGGCATGTCCCATGCTTGGATTCTCCAAGCAGCGCACAGGAGAACGATCGTTGACTTACCTGAACGGTCCTTCTGTGTGCGCTGCGGGAGAATCCAACCCCACCCTTGGCACCGGCTGGTCCAGGGGCTCTCGGGACACACTTAGACTTCATTCCACGACTTCATTGACCTTTACATCCAGGTCCTCTATCATATTTCCATCTTTTGGATCAGCTGAGCCTTCATACAAAACTGAACTCTTCCAGTCAGAGGAGGCGTGGTCAACAATTTCATAACTCAGTCTCTAGGCTAATGGGCAAAGTTAATCCATGCTTGGATTCTCCCGCAGCGCACATAGAAGAACCGTTCAGGTAAGTCAACGGTCGTTTTATGAGGGGGAGGGAAGAGCTCAATTAGTCCAGACAAGCTTTTCTACTTTTGACTCATTTTCTCTACTGCTGCTCTCGTTCAGCATCCTGGTTAATTGGAGGGTCTTTGTGATGGGCATGGAGTTTGTTGATCAATCACCTGGAACAGGTCGCTTAGCTCAAATGGTGTGATTTCTCTCCTAGGCAGGTGAATTATTGTGTCTCATTGTTCAAGAAGTCAGAAATTGTAATTACAACGATTTCTTAAGAAAAGCCTTGTGGGAGAAGAGAAGAAAATAAAACCATCATCCAGTGCCCAAAATCAAACTTTTTCCGCCCTGCTAAGATCCCTGTGGATAACCTTACTTTTCCATTTCTGCTCTTTTTCAGATTGTTGAAAATAATGAATTTACAACAGATTGGGCGAAATTACTACAACCCAAGTGACCCAATCAACATTCCTAAGCACAGGTAACAAAACTGGAAATGTCTTTATGACCACAACTGGGATCAAAATCAATCCAGTGTTTCTTTTGGAAGCTTCTAGATACATTCTGCCTCTCCTAGCAAAGATTAGCATTTAGTTCTGCCTTAGATGTTTATGCTGGTGTCTGCAGCATTTTCATATTTAAAGGTCTGGGATTGCAAACCCGAGAAGATGATTTTGCTTAGTGTGACTTGAAATAATCAATTTCAAGGGGATCAGCCTGATCCGTCGACCTGGGTTTAAAACCGTCCACATAAAACGGGTTTCTGTATTGGAGTTGCAGGTGGTTGCCTTTGCAGAACTTGTTTGCGATATGAAACTCGATTTAAAAGAGCAGGCGAATGTCGAGAGTGAACTTATTGTGAATTTATTTATTTATTTGTCTTGATAGGCTGATGATTTGGCCTGGCTTCACCACTTCCATTCTGCAGTATGAGACCAGCATCATGCTTTGCACAGATGTGAGTCACAAAGTTCTCCGAAGCGAGACCGTCCTGGATTTTATGTACACCTTGTACGATCAAGTCGGAGAACAGCGGTTCCGAGAACTTTGCACAAAGGAACTCATCGGTGTGATTGTCCTTACCCGGTAAATTCAACTTGTTTTGATTTTAATGGTGGAGTTCAAAATCTTTTGCTTTCCCAGTTAGTCCCTGATTTACAATCACAATTGGGGGGGTGGGGTGGGGAATCAACAGTTCCACTGCTATGTAAGGTGATCATTAGGTTTCAGGCAGCCACTGCAGTTGTTAAGCGAATCACACGGTCTTTAAGAAAGCCCAGCTTCCCCCGTTGACTGTTGTAGCTGGCCAGGAGAGCTGGCAGCAGATTCGGACAGTGAGGAGGTTGGGGAGGAAGATGGGCCAGTCCTGGAGTCTGGGGAAGGCTCTGATGGGCTCTGTGTCAGAGGCAGAGAGGGGGCCAGGGCAGTCCAACAGTTATCAGCTGCCTTAAGAGTCAAACATCAGTGAGGCAGAGGAACAGCTGCAGCCTGTTCCCAGTGTGCACATGCAGAGTTGCCAGACGAAGGGAACAGCTAAAGAACAGGAGTCGACTTGGGAGAAAGGCCACAGGTGGACAATGAATGGCCCCTCCCAGAGGAAATAAAATGAGTGAAAGGGCAGTGGAGTTTGCTTCATTGGTTCATGACTCCGAGACTCCTTGCCAAGTTTTGCAGATATTGGCCTGGCAGCTCTCCAAGCCAGATAANGCTGCATTCTGGACTAGTTGTAGTCTCCGAACACTTTTCAGGGGCAGCCCCATGTAGAGCATGTTAACTCGAGGTAACAAGGGTGTGAGTGACCGTGTGAAGTGCCTCCCGATCCAGATAGGGCCGCAACTGGTGCACCAGGTGAACCTGGGCAAAGGCCCCCCTGGTCACAGCCGACAGGTGATGTTCTAATGTAGCTGTGGGTCCAGGAAGACTCCCAAGTTGCGGGCCCTCTCTGAGGGGAGTAGATTTTCACCCCCAGGCATAAGGATGGACTAATCGAACTGCCCTTGGGAGGCAACATCCATAGCCACTCGGTCTTGTCAGGATTGAGTGCGAATAAATATATTTTCTCTAGGATAATAGACAATAATTTAACTCTTAATAATAATAATTTCGCTTTTACCTTTTGTTTCTTTGTAATTGCAATTAATTGATCTACGTATTGTTTCTCGATTTCTGCAATTGATTGTGTTGCTTTGAGTGGGTGACTTGCCGTTTAGATGAACAGCCACTCCTTAGAAGGTCCGGCACCGGATTGCCCTCCGGGCTTCAGGCGATGTGAAGACGTCGGCTGCAGCGTAAAGCCGCAACTGAGCCGGCTGCAGCTTTAAAAGCCAAAGCTTTTCTTCTGGGGATGAGTGGAGCCGCGTTGCGGTCTTCCACCCCCCTCCATCTTTCTGCCGAGGTTGGAGGTTGGTTCGCCACCCCCGCGTTTCGTCTTAGGCACGCTCGACTTAATGGAGGAGCGTTGCTAGGAGATTAATTACATGTGAATTGAGTCGCTGCTGCCATTCCAGAGGGTCAGAAGTCCCCTAGCTTCGGTAGGCGGCCTTTTTAACTGAAAAATTTGAAATTCGCGCCTTCTTCCTCAGTGGAAGTTAACGGCTTGTAGTTTTCACACCGAAAGCAGCAGTGCCGACATAGCGGCAGCCAATCAGGCGCTTTTTGGAGGTGGGTTCGCCATCACCACCATTGCACACCAGGTCTGCAACAGAGTGGCTGTGTGTTTTTGCTCCGGCAGCACTTGGGCCTCTGTTTGCTCATGATTCCCTCAAGCCTTCAGAAGAGCTGAAAGAACTTGGTGGTGGTGGTTGGTGGTTTATTCAACTTGTATGCCGCCCTATTCCCGAAGGGACTCAGGGNTGCAGATATTGGCCTGGCAGCTCTCCAAGCCAGATAAAGTCTGTGACTGTAAATCCTCCCTGGAAAGACTTTGCTAGATGTGAATGAGCAGAATTCACAGTCAATTAATAAAAGGGGTTTTTGTCAGGACCAGGAGTTTACTTCAGACTCTTGGGAAGCCTCGGTCAGAACAGTTACAAGGCTCTTCACAAGCTGGTTGAGAAGATCACAAATGATGATCCCCCAACCCTGTAAAGCAGAGTTGTCAAGAAATTAAGATTAAGATTTAAGGTGATTTAAATTAATGAAACCTTCCCACCTTTGCCCAGGTATAACAACAAAACGTACCGGGTAGACGATATTGATTGGGAATCAAATCCTAAAAATTCCTTCAAAAAAGCAGACGGAAGCGAGATCAGCTTTGTAGACTACTACAAGATGGTATGGAGTGGCTGAGCTTTTGGGGAGGGGATGAAAAGGACCTTGGTTGGTTCTGGGTTGTTGTCTTCACCCCACCCACCCCCATCCCTAAGTCTGCAAGATCCATAATGTAATGCTAAGGCTAGATTTTGATCAGTAAAAGGCATTGATCAGCACATGGATACTTAAAATTCGAAACCGCCTGCGGGGCATTTGATACGTTCAATGGCTCTGCAAGCCTCTTTGTTCGATTACCCGTTGCCTGTACAATTCTTGAAATTTCATTGCAAGGATAAGCCTCCAGCCACGAAATAGTCCTTTTAAAACTAGTTGCTCTTCCCTTCTCCCCCCAAAATAATAATAATAATTTTCAAATGTGACCCAATGGCAAAGGGATCCTAGAAAGGGAAAGGGACCCTGATCAATTGGTTATGGGCGAAACGCAGAGTCGACTTTCCCAAAGCAGTTTTTCTTTCCAATTAACAAAAATTGCTTTCCCGTCTCACGAAGCTGCTTCTGTCCTATGTAGTTTTTAAGACTTTCTTCTTTCCTTATTCTGCGTGTCGGGACTCTAACAATGTGTCTGCTTTTTAAAACAGCAATACACCCAAGACATCACCGATTTGAGTCAACCTGTTTTGATTAGCCAGCCAAAGAGGACGAGAGGCCCTTCCGGTGCCTTGGCAGGACCAGTGATACTCATCCCTGAACTCTGCTATCTCACAGGTCTGATCATTCAAAAATAGCCTTTCTTCTCCCAAGAGTGGGTGTTTAATCAATGGAATGGCACCACCAGTTGTGGTGCTTCATTGCTGGGGGTTGGGGTGTTCAGGAAAAGATTGAACAAGGTCCAGGATGGTATAAAGTGGGCAGGGGGTTGGACTAGAGGACCTCTAGGGCCCCTTCCAGCCCTGTAATTCTATGGCTCACCTTCCGATTTGGAAAGGAGGCAGTTTCTTTTTGCCTATGAGAATTACCTAGCGAAAATGATCCTTATAATCTCTGGCTACTGGTGCCTCAACAATTATAAGAAGGGAGGAGTTTTAACTTTTAGATTAATTCGTTTGGGGGGATAATAAGTGAGTTGGGTCCAAGTGCTGGTCTTTACTGATTTTATTGTATGGTCTCCCCCCCCCCCCCCCCCCCCTTCCCTTTTTTTTCCCTCCCCCCCTCTCCTTCCCCTTCCTTCTTCCCTTACCTTTCTCCTACTCCTACTCTTCCTCCCTCTCTCCTTCTCTTCCTTCCACCATCCTCTCCTTACCTCTTTCTTCCTTCCCTCCTCTCCTTCCCCTTCCTTCTTCCCTTACCTTTCTCCTACTCCTACTCTTCCTCCCTCTCTCCTTCTCTTCCTTCCACCATCCT